TATCCTCAGACACCTCCCAAAGGCGTGCCCTTCGCTGGAACCACATCGTCCAGGGTTCTTCAGCTTCCTCAGTTTTCCGGACTCCCAGGCCAGTCTTCTCACCTTGAAGACAGACCTATCCGTGTCATTGAGGACATAAAGTCTTTCTGCAGTGCTCCTGCGCTTGTCTCTTGAACCCCTCCGTCCAGCTGTCCTTTGCCTGCTGAAACGCCTTCAGTCTCCTCTCCAGTTTCTGAAACGATATATGAGGTTAGACATTTTTGTAAAACTAATTTCTTTTAACTATCTCTCCCCTCTCACTCCCCCTAACATGGACTTCTCCCAATCCCCCTCTACACAGTAAGGATTTACACACCTAGACTCCCCCATATAATAAAACATGTTTTTGGCACATAGGCGTCCCAGGTCGGGGTCTCCTGAAGTATCACATCATATTCCCACGTAATTATTTTGCGAGAGGATTGAAGGAGGCCATTTATATCATACCAACCTTCGGTCAACCGGGACGGGGGGGGGGGGCGATTGTAAACGAACTTTCACCCAATGCTGACGTCACACATATGCCACCCTGTTTTCGCAATGCATCATGGGGACGGGAAACTGAATTATCCCTTAACCTCTCATGTTTCCAGCACTTGTATCCTAGCTACCGACCTTTCTTCCTCCGCCTCCTCCTCCCGTCTTCTCGTCTCCAACTCATGAGCTCTCCTCACCTCCTCCTGTCTTCTCGTCTCCTCATGTGCTCCCCTCATCTCCTCCTGTCTTTTCTCCTCCTCATGTGTCCTCCTCACCTCCTCCTGTCTTCTCCTGTCCTCCTCCTCCTGTCTTCTCCTGTCCTCCTCGTGTGTTCTCCTGTCCTCCTCCTCGTGTGTTCTCCTGTCCTCCTCCTCATGTGTTCTCCTGTCCTCCTCCTCGTGTGTTCTCCTGTCCTCCTCCTCGTGTGTTCTCCTGTCCTCCTCCTCGTGTGTTCTCCTGTCCTCCTCCTCGTGTGTTCTCCTGTCCTCCTCCTCGTGTGTTCTCCTGTCCTCCTCCTCGTGTGTTCTCCTGTCCTCCTCCTCCTGTCTTCTCCTGTCCTCCTCCTCATGTGTTCTCCTGTCCTCCTCCTCCTTGTGTGTTGTCCTCTCCTCCTCCTCTTCCATCTCTTTATCGTCGATCTGTAAATTCTTCACCACGCTGCAAGAAATTAGCTATGTTACTTGACACCATATACATGCAACTTATTTCTGCCATAATTATGCAAGTTATTAGTTAGCAGATTATCCAACTGTCACCCGCTTTTCGCCTAACACTCTGGCCGTGACAGCTAACTTGCAATTAATAGTATTAGTAATTACACAAACGATATGAAGACTTACTTGGAGAGCTTTACGGCACTGTTTTCCGACATGTCCGCACTTTGCAGCGAACTGCAGCCAAATGAGCATGCGTTGTAAACTCTGACACCTCATCAATTCAGTAATTATCATATGGAATGTGTGCTGGCGTCTCGTCATTAATTAGTCACACCTGATCTGTCAATCGTATAATCATTTCAACTCCCCACACCATTTTTGGACACAGGCAGCAAGACCTGTACACCAAGCAGAACTTCCGTGTAGCATATCCACACACCTGAACCCAGGTCTAGGGGTGTGTGTCACGAATAACATAGAGCATAATGGACTTGGTGTTGACTTTTTTCTTTTCAGGTTTTTCTGCCATCAGTGGCTGGAGCACGTCCTCCTTTTCGTCTGCGTCCTGACTTGGTACTATGAGGGCACCAAACCCATACACTTTGCTGCGTGGGCCAAATGGAACCTTGGAAACATGTTTCTAGCAAGGGTGACTGGCTTTCCAATTCTTTAAAACACTAGTCCATGCTAAAGTGCACAAGGTCGTCAGGTGCAGTTTCTTTGAGGATAGATCTCGGAACTAAGGACTGGATCTTTCTGGTGACCTGCCTGTAGTCTTTCTTGTCGCGCTTAAACACCAGGACGAACACGAGAGGCACATGTTCATACAGTCGTCCTTCCTCACGAACGCGCTGATTTTAGCCAGACAGAATGCACCCGACACAACTTGAATGTCCCGTCCATGTACCAGGTTTTGGCTTTTGCCAGGTTTGTCAGCTGACGTCATCAGGTGCCGGGGTTCGCTGTCGCCGTTCTGCCGTTACCGATTCACTGCTCTCGCCAAATGCTTCGTGTTGCTAAGTGCCGAACAGGGAGCATCTCCTTGTCCTGTGGAAGTGGGTCGTCCAACATCTGAACTGCTGCCAGCATTGCATCTCTGAGGACTTTAGCGGGCGTTAGGGCCTGTTCGCTTGGGTTCTCGCAGGTGACTGCGAAGTGTGAGCCGGTCCATGGAGTCTTTGGCCTTCTGGTCGAATGCCGCCGCCTGGAGGAGTTCCTCGGGGTCGTCCTTAAGGACATCGGAGCTGTGCTTGTCGAGCGGTATGTCTTCGACGTTGCTGTTGTCCTGTGGGAGTAGGGACATGGCTTCGGAGCATCATGACTTAGCTGATCGGGCCCCGGTCCACGAGAGTACCGCCTGCTTTGAGGAAATTGGGAGCCACCATGGGGATGAACCTGTCTCTGACCGCGAAACCCGACCGACTGACAGGTCGGTATCATCCTACCAGTGCTGTAAGGGTATCAGGGAGAGTAGGTACCCATGTAGGTTTGGGTATGTCCGCGGTTGGGCTAAGGGTGTCTGGCTTTAGTTTTTGAGCGTTTGAGTCTTAAGTAGAACTCGCTTTGAAAGGACATTTTTTACAGTCATATAGAAATTTCAAGATGCCCATTGTACTATTAGTTGGGACATAATAAAAGCTCCAAGTGTCTTGTTTTACGTTGTTTATCAGTGTTTTGGCGTCCAGCTTTGCCCCGCAAGTAGTCTCGACACGTGTCAACAGTACACTGTACATGTCAGGCTCTGACAGTCCCTTCAAAGGACTAAACAAATGTATTGCTCCCCTTCTTTCCTTTGTCACAATTTCGTTTCTTTGACAAACCTGGAAGATTTGACGGACTTTCGTCCAGCACCGCTTCCTTAGCTGTGTCACGAGCCTGTATTCTTTAGCATTGTTGCAGACCTGGCGGTACTGAAAAAGGGAGATATGTACGTGTGATTGAAATAAAAAAAATAACTAACTTCATTCCTATTATCAATCAGATTCCACCATACCAAGCACAAACATTTCAGGACCTGCAGTCCTTAATTTGACGATGACAGCTATACAATAATTAAGATTGTATCATGGTTTGTCACCCGATTCCGGAGGATGTTTGTTTATTGGGCCGCCTCACTGGCCGACGGTCCAGGGAGGCACTGGTCTTCAGCAAGGTCCTCTTATGACTCATTCATGTCGGCTATGAGAGCTTTCCGCATAGCAATGGCACCGTCTTATTCGAGACTGTAGATGGGCAAATTAAAATAACAAAGGACTGTTCTATCGTAAAAGAAAGAAAGTGTGGGGACAACCAAGGAGGTTCACAAATCTGTTCACAAAACTCCTTGGGGAAACTAAAAAGAACTTAAAATATCAATTCATTTTGGGGTACACATTTAAAAACATGTAATTGTGAACAAGAATAAAAACTAAACTTTTTGATAACTACTTCTCATGGAATAACTCACAATATTATGTTTCCACACTAACATTTAATAGTTTATTATCGGGGACACATTTGAAAACATTCGCATAAAATTTGTTGGTAATCCTTATTCGTGAGTGCCAGGTTTCCACCTCCGGGCATGTCTGGGAAAGGCCGGTCATCTGGGCTGTTTGCCGGGTATAAAAAGTCCGCAGTGCAGCGTGAGAGTTCCCCAGCCAGACAACCCACTAGCGTCGAGCGGATATACTCAAGGCCTCGTCGCTGTCGGGGTTATGTTTGCACGCCTTTTACAGAGCAATTACCACACGTCTCGACGATGTAGGCCCCTACATGGCGTTCCTTCTTTCTTGTGTATTTCTTGTCATCCCCTCCTTGAAACACCTCGAGCGGCAGAGGGAAGACTGTTCCGGTGATTTCTCTTGTTATGCTGGAGGCAGTCCTGCTCTCTCCAGGCAGGCATTACGAAGGGCCTCGTTCGTTCCGTTTAGAATTTTCCGTCATTGTCGGTACAGAGACCCTCTATCGCCAACCCAACGCCAATCGCTTTTGAGAGGGACAAGAGCATATTTTTTGTGTGTGTCTTGATCGAAAAGAGGACACCCTGCTTGTGTGCCTGACTTCTGGCCTCTAAACTAACCTGGCTTCATCAATCAATGCACGCTCTTCAGTGCTGAGCTTGGGTGATGACCACTTGTTGAAAGGGATGAATGCCTTTGATGGACTGTGGAAGTACGTGGACCTCAGCTGTTTACGGATGTGCAGTTATTTAGCAGTGTGCTTGATGTGGAAGTCTTCTAGCTGCATTGTTTGTTCTCTGGTGAGTTGAAGCTGTCTGAATGACCCGGATACCTCTGTGTTACCCTCTCTAGGCCGTGGGTCCTCGTCTTCTTCCGCTTGAACTAACGCCATTTGCTGGACGTTAGTAGTTGGCACGGCCCCTTCTGGCAGGAAGCCGACTAAAGTCATATACTGCACGAAGTCGTAAATCTGTTAATTTAATCGAAATAGTAGTTTAATCGGAAATATACTGTAAAAATAATGTATCACAATTTATTGTCTGTTGAAAAATGGGATTTAAACTACATTGTATTTATTTATCTTTGTCTCCTAGACCCTCTCAGGCCTCTGGTCAGCAAGAAGACTAAATCCGTATTTGTTTAGGCGACACAAACCTTTCATCAGGGGATAGTCAGATCAGACTCCCACACCTTTAGCAGAGTGTGAGATTACCTTTACTTAGAGTGTATAAAAATGAAATATTACTGTCTTTATAAAATTTTTCAACAGCAACATCGTTACACATTTCCCACTTCACGAAGAGTGGGATTTACAAAATTTACCCTAAATGTGTAAATCTTCTTACACCCCCAACCGAACACGGGCTCTGAAATAACACAAGTGTTTGACGCTAAAAGTTGATGGGTGTGCGGTCTTTGTGGTGGAGAGCCTCCCGTCTCCGGTTAGCCATGCCCATCTAAAAAGAAGAAAGAATCAGATTGCAAAAAGAGTATATAAATGCTTACAATAGAACTTAACAATACCCAATGCCAATGCTTCTAATAGAACCTTAAACAAGAACGTTACCAAAAACCGAAAAGTTATAGAACTTTAAACAAGAACATTACCATAAACCCACCAGATTTGATATCTTAGGCAGTCCCAGATTCAGTGCTGTCTCGTCCACATTCTCCAGCAGCGTCTCCTGCACAATGGTGTGCGCTGACTTGAACACGTCCCTTGGCGTGCACCTCAGCTTGAACTTGAAACCCTGAAAGAAACACAAATATTTTAAATGGTAAAAATGTACAATGAATGGTGAACATGTTTTTAAAAGGACACGGCTATGAAACAAAAAGTTATATTTTGTACCTTAACATTTTTGCGCAGTTAACAACCGGTGGATGAATGTGTTGTCACCTCGACGGAGGGACGTTGGTTCAATACTTAAACGTTTCGTTACAATATGGTATGACTTTAATTAAACAGTACGTAACGGTACAGGAGGGACGTTGGTTCAAAATTAAACAAAAAGTTTTGTTACAATATTGCATTGCTTAAACAGTACGCACCGGTCCAGGAGGGATTTTGGTTCAATACTTAAGAAAACAACGTTTCATTTTTTTATATATATAAAGAATACAGACACGATGACGGCGTACACAAGTTAGGCTAACTTATATTAGCGCCGCCATCAAACAATAAACTTGATACAAAAGTAAAGCGATATAAAACTAACGAATAAATATAATACACAAATTAAACATAAGACAGATGGGGATTAAATAAAGAATGAAACTAAGAAAACTAAGAGCGCAGGTCCTTCCCCCCTCCCACCCTTGGTAACCCTGGTTGTTATTGGTAGGACACACCAAAGAAATAATGATAATGATAAATTAGGTTGAAGCAAAGCGTTTTACTTGAAATAGTAAAATCTTGGGTTAGAGCCATTATTTGACAATTAATTTTGAAGGTAAATGAAGGGGATCCGTAAAGCAGAAGTTGTTCGAGAGCATTGTCGGAGAGTGAGTTTGTGTCAAGGAGGT